CACAGAAGCAGTGACTGAAGCCTGCCAAGTTAATCTGGCGATGTGAGAAACTCTCTGGGTATCATTGCCTGTCTTACGAGAAAGAGAAAGGGAGTGGCTGAACTCTTCTGGCATTGCCGGAGCTTTGACAAAATGAGCCGTAACGGGTGGGGACAGGGATTTGCTGGTCATTTCTGTGTGGAGAGACCCAGATTCGTGGGCACAGGGCTCTGGGAGCAGAGTGTGCGGCTGCAGCTGGGGAGCTGGCCTGGGACAGTTTCCTGCCTCTTGCTCTCCAGACAGGCAAGCTCTGGCCGAGCTACGTGTATCCACACTTATTTATATAAGTACACATACTGGAGAATTATCTTTGGCCCTTGAAGAGCCGCACCCTCCAAAACATATGCAAGCATTGGCATTAGGAAACATAGGAAAAGTCCAACCACCACATCAGCACACAGACACATTTAAGGCTTGCTATAAAGCAAGGTCTGGCATAAACCAGACCTTTTCTCTGTTGTTTTTATGTATATTAACTCCTGATAACCTGAAAGCTGAAGCTGTTTCACTCCTGGGTGTTTGTTTACAAGGCAGAGCTGTGGCTGATGGCAGATTGCACGGGGTTGCGGTGGGGAGAGGTGTTACAGTTTGGGCAGAGCTGGCCTCTGACGGCAGAAGCAGCTGCATAGACGTCTCTTGCAGAGAGACAGAGACAAACAGCATGGTATGCTGCAAAAATATGAGACTTAGTTCTAAGTTGAGGCTTAGATCCAGGTTTAGGACCTAGGAGGAAGGAGTAAGTTTTGCTGCCAGTCAATGAGTGAGTCTTGGTAGCTCTGAGTTTGTGAGGGACATCCTGGGCCAAAAGTAGTGGAAAAGCTTTATGCTGTGTTGAAGAATCACCCCTGCTTATCACATGCTGAGATGATCAACTTCAGTTGCCATGGGAAAGGTTTATATGGGTTTGGGTTCCTCATCTAAAAAAATAAATCTATCCTCTTCAGTTGGTGTCTTTGTTAATGAGTAATAAGCATGTTGCTTAATAGATTGCCTATCCCTATAAGTGTGGTCAAAATAACAAAGTGTAGAAGCCAGGTAGCAGACAGTCTGAAACCAGAGCTGTCTTTACGTCTCCTGTGCTAACATCTACTCCTGCTCACGAAACAATCCAGTCCTCTTGTGAACCCAGCTACAGCATATGACTTAGCAAAATTTCACGTCTGTTTGCTCAGCTATCCATTGCTTCCTGACACCTCTCCTTCTGGCCGGCTGGGCAGAAAAAGGCATCTGCTAAATGCAGCAAGGCTGCTGCTGCTCAGAGAGCCAGAGCAGGGGAAAGCGGCAGCACCATGCCCAGACCCCGCCTGCTGCATTTTCCCTTTGGTTTCTTCTGCTTGTTCCAGCATGTTGCCAGAATACCTTTTTGCTCCAGCTGAATAAGCAGAATACCGAGACACCATTGACAACAGGTTTGTGCCACGTATCAAACTGACTGATAGCTATAGCACTCCTGCACAGTAATAGCAGTCTGGAAGATTGTGTGCACCTCAGGTTCGTTATTTGATCAGTGCATGTCAGAGAGACAAACAAAAAGGACATTTGTAGCTTGGCCACGGAGCCAGCACAGGGAAAATGCCTCTTACTTTTGAGAAAATGTGAGCAGTTGTAGAAAGACCATTCATACTCCCCAAATGCACCCATGAAGAACTCTGCTTAGTGCACACTACCCTCTAGTCTAAAATAATAGCTATGATACAGTCATTTTCTGCTGAGGAGAAAAAAACAAAATGTCAAAAATTTCTTAGCCACCCTTCAAGGTAATGAAGGGGGTTCATTGCTAACGACGCTGGCGATAACCAGAGATGGTGTCACTCTGGTCTTTGCGATGTGGCCAGTCCCATCCACACTAAGTTTTCCCCTCTGTATGGAACATTTGGCTGGCTCCAGACTTGTGTCCAAGGCCTCACAAGTTGTGGGTGTGATGGCATTAGGATATAAGACTATCCAGATTAAGGGAGGTAGTGACATCCAGTTTTATCAGCAGGATTAATTGGTGGCACTCTTACTAACAAGAGATCACTCCTTTCTCTTTCCCAGCTAGCACTGCACAAAATGGTATTCCTTGATTATCCCCCCAGTGTAGAACTACATGCAATATCTGGCCGAGATGAAGCTTTTTTAGAAATACCTTGACCTTAATAACTAGCTCACTAAGGGGATTGTGCCTGACTAAAGGAAACACTGAAATCCTGTAACGGAAGGCACTGTTGATGAACCAGGTATTATTTATTGCTATTAGCATAATATACCAAGCCAGGAAAGGAGTTTGTATGGATATAATTTTTTCCAGCTTGCTGCTTACCAGAACTTGCTCGTGTTGGAGATGGGCTGTTTCTGCTAGTTCTGATCCCTCATTTATTTTATGAGGTAATGTGGATCAATGACGATTCATGATATAGAACCAGACTAATTTCCAATTAAATGTCTCCCTCCAAAATAAAATTCCAGGGTTAATTTTGTTCTCATTATAATGATTTCATTTTGGCTAAAGAATGATCATCTCGTTAGCAACACATATGCAGATGATTACATTTAAACAAATATGCTGGGAGTAGAAGTTTAAACTTTCCTTAGTAGGGAAAAAAGAAAACAAAGAATTTGCTCTTACGAGGACAAATGCTCAGTTCACTGAGCAAGAAATTAGATGCCTGTCCCCCCAGTGAGAGTTGGAAGAAACAGCAATATAGCTAGGTCCCCAATACATCACGAGAAAAGCAGACCTGTTGGTGTTTAAAAAGCTTGCACATAGTGGTTTAGTTCCTATGAGGCACTGGTGAAAACAGCTCTGATACCTTGGTAGCAATATTTTTCTTTAGTTGCCAGTATCGGGGAAGGGCAATATAGAATCATTGGCTATAGGAGCAAAAGAGGCCTCTTCTGGGTCATCAAACCACATTCCTTCAAAATCAAGAGAGCATTGTTTATTTGATCTGGTAAATAGAAAGCTAAGGGGATCTGATTGCTCTCTGCAAACACATGATGCAGGCACGCACCAGGGAGCGCAGAGAGCTGTGTAAGCTAAAGGACAATGCTGGCACAACAACACATGGATATAAACTGGCCACAAATACTTTTAGGCAGGAAATTAAGAGGCAATTTCTAGCCATTAGAAGAGTGAGCTTTAGGAAAAACTTTCCCATGAGAGTAGTTGTGGAGGGAAATAATTAGTTTTAAGATGTTATTAAAAGGATTATAAAATGCAGTTGCTAGAGATAGGATGAAGAAGGCTTAATTGCTTTACAAGAAAGATATGCACAGCGTTATGTGGGATGAATGGATTTGTTAGGGGAAGATCCATAAATCATCTTGGTATGTACAGAAGGACTCACATAGACTTTTAGACTGAACCAGGTTACTAAAGACCCACATTTTCATTAGTGAAGTTTCCTAGGCACTTAACTTAGAGTTTTTAACCATGTCTAGAAATATTGTCAAGTTGTCAGGGCTGGGCAGCTCAACATCTGTTCAAACATAGGCCTGATTTCTTACACAGCCACACTTCAGATATATTGTTAAGTCCTCCCTTTTTAAAGTGGATCAAAGACTGGCTGGTCAGTGTGCTTGTCTGACCATGCCCTGCGCCTATCCCTGCAGTCTGTCCTGTCTTCTTATTAAACTCCATTTCCAACTCTTTGCCTGGGTGAGGGTCTCTTTTTTTGAGTGTGAATGGGGGTGTATGGGGCTCCGCATGCCAGCAACTTGTGTGAGACCATGGGTCAGAGGCGCTTGTGTGTCTGGGGTGGAGCAACTGGAGGGATGCAGAGTACATGTGCCTTGTGTGTGTATGTCAGTGTGTGCAGCTGCTAGCAAACAGCAAGCTGGGCTAGCGGTGGACAGGACAAAAGATTTAGGAACTGGGTATTTGAGTGGCTGTGATCCTGGGCTGGATACTGAAGAGACCAGAGGGTCTCAGAGTTGGCTGCTAAGGGAGCCAGGAGGTCCATGGTAGCTATTGGGAAGACCATCGTGTCTGGGGCTTGGCAACCAGTGAGACCCTAGGTCTGGGCCAACTGCCAGAAAGACCAGCACGTGTGTAAGTGCCTGAGGCAATTGGGAGATCAGTGGCTCTAGGGGCCAGAGACTGGGTAAACTGAGCCTAGCTACTGGGGTTCCAGTGTGTCTAAGCTGTGCTGCTGGAAGGATCCACCTGTACTTCTTTTCCATCAATAGTCTTTCATCCTGATGAGCCAGAAAGGGGAACGGGATGACACTTTTGATGCTGGTTGTGTTTGCCTGTACTGTGTTTTCACCTTGTGTGCATGTGTAATGTGTGCCTGTTGGGAATACATGTTTGTCCCTGGTATGACTGGACCTCAGGACATAGAGCTGCAGCAACCTCTGTGGGGCTACCAGACTGGATAATTCCTAACATGAGGGAAGTATCAAGGATACTTGCCCCATAATGCTCTTTTTTTTCCTCTTTACTTGCAGGTCAATGCCAAACTGTACAGAAAGGTATGGTGTGACTTTGTTTGCTGTCCTTGGAGAACCTCAAAACATTGAGTATTTTTTCATTATTTCCTGACAAGTTTTCTAATGTTGGTGCTATAGTAGGTCTTGCTCCCAGAGAGGTGATCTCTTCCATACGAGGCAGGGTTTTGCTGCTGTGACAATGGTACTTGTTACCAGAAAGAGACATTAGCAAGAGAAGGAAGCTCAAACGTAGGCCCATTACTGTAATAGTAATTTTATGAAGAGACAACTCTCTATTATTCCCTTTTCACCTCTGAGTGGGTTGAAGGTATTACCAACATTTATCCTTCCTAGGACCTCTTACCCTAATTTCTTAAAATGTGTTATGTTTATGAGAATATACGTGTAAGCACATTTATAGGCCTACTTGCCTAAGAATTAAGTCCCAGAATAGTTTTCAATCTCTTTGGGCAATTTCAATCAAACTTCACAGAGGGACTGCAGTTTCAGAGATATTAAAGTCTTAGAAATTTTGTGGGGCCAAGCAAAGAAGAGAGATATCTTACTGATAGTTTCCTCACTAAAGAAAAAAGTCTATATGATCTCACACCTCATCAGTGAACTCATACTAAAAGGCAAAGATGGGGAGAGTGATATCACAAATATACTTTATTCATGACCCTGAGTTTTTCCCATGTTAGACACCAGCAAATTCACACCTCACAGGGGATTTTTCTCTCTTACAGATTCTCTGGTGTTTAATAAGCTCAAACTGTATTCTTAATTTAAATCAGATAAGATTTAATTGTGTATGAGACAGCCTTTCCTTTGGAAACCAGGCTTTATTAATTTTGGTGGTTTCCAAGCTATTTGTTAAATGAACTCCCACGTGGGCCTGGTACTTCAGTGTTTTCCAGCCAGGAATTTGTCCTTTAATTGCTGTTCAGCTATTGAATCAACAAAATAAATTTTATTTTAGGAACAGTGCTTGTCAATCAGGTGATCCTTGATGCCCCATCAAATTGTCAGATACTATTTGAATTCTGAATGACATCTACTTGCATCAAACTGTTTGCAACCAATCTCTAGACCAACCATACTTTCCATCATCTTTCTATAAGTGGTTTTAGACATCAAATACATTTGAGAACATTACAAACTGCCTCCAGTCTATCTGTAAACAAAAAAATAAGCTCATTTAATGTGTTATTTGTTATGTTGTCTTTGAACTATTCAGAGTGTCAATGAAGCAAATTATTTTTCATATATTCATCTCCTTTTCATAGCGAAATGCGTGGACATTGCCTTAAGTTCTTGTACTGATGTTGCCTATACTCAAACAATGTATCCTAATTTTCTGGATCAGAAGTCTCGAGAAGTGATTGAGTACAGCTCTGAGTACATCCTCATCAGCGTGCTGCACAACTTGCTCCAGGGAGAATGCAATCCAGACCTGAGGCTCCTGGGCTGCTCGGTGCTGGCCCCGCAGTGCGAAAAGGACAAAGTTATAAAGCCCTGCAGGCATGTCTGTGAAAACTTGAAAAAAAATTGCCTCCCTGCCTTTGATGCAATAGACATGGCTTGGCCCTACTTCTTAGACTGCGACCGCTTTTTCGCTGGTGAAGAAGAGGGATGTTTTGACCCACTGGCAAAGCTGCGAGGTAGGGAAGGAAGCTCTGCTGACATATCTTACTCGCCTAGATGGGAAGGGTCTCAGCTCACTCAGCTTGACGTATCTATGGCACAAAACCTCTCCACTTGTCATCTCAGCTTGTCTTTATAGACACCTGTAAGGTGTGATTAATTCTGTTCCATCTATTTTAAACACTTAACTAAACTGTGCTCAAGAAGCATCTGTTTCTCTCCCTCATATACAAAGAGCATCAAGACAGGCAGCTCAGAGCTAGATGTTTGGAATGCCAATGTGCATTTAGATAAACCCTGCCCTGTGTGATAGCTGTCTGTGTATTTGAAATATTTTATTTAAAAACTGAAACTTTAATGCACTCATAAGTTTATGACTACTTGACAAGCTTAACAGCTCATTAAAATAATCTCATTAATGATTGTCACAGATTTTTGTTTGGATGAAGAAGATCCAGATAACTGAAGACAGCTGAATCTCATAAAAAATGAATTTGATCCACCAGATTCAGAGGGAAAAATCTGTACATTTTGTGACTAAAATGTGCTAAGCATGCCAAAGGCCAAATTGTAACTGGAGGTTGCACAAAATATTTGTCAGTGTGCTTATGCATTAGTATGATTTTGCAAACAAAATATGCCACAATAAACAGTGCAGGATGTACTACACAGATTTAAAGTTTCAATTGCGGCCGTATTTTCTATAATTCTGCTACTGAAAAAGGTATTTTGCAGAGAAGTGCAGACAATCATACAATCCTCTGAGCACCGTGGTTTTAAACACTGTTACAATTTTTCTTTGCAGGAGAAGTAGATGTTGAGGAAGATTTGCCTTCAGACTTGCCAGGAACTTTTATTCAGTTCAAACACCATTCATATTCCCAAATGGTGAGCATGTTGAAGAAGACTGCTTCCAAGTGCTCCCATATTGCAACAACTTACAGCATAGGTCGCAGTTTTGAAGGGAAGGATCTTTTTGTGATTGAGTTTTCAACCAAACCTGGACACCATGAACTGCGTGAGTTATATCAGTGTTGATCAGGTTGCATTGATAACACTTAAACTGTAAAAAACATGGATTCAAAAACATTTCTCCTGCTTTGTGTTCCTGAATTACAGTGATAGCTGATGATTCACTGTAGCAATTACAGTCTGGTTGTAATTCTTTATCTTTATGACCTTCGTTTATGACCATGGTTGACATGCTTTGTTCCTAGATATAAGACCATGTACTTGGTTGCAGTGATGCAGCTATTATTTGTTTGTACCCAGTGTACAAAGAAGTTGGGATACTTTGCTGTTACTGACCTGCCCTCTCCATCAGCTACCACTTCCTCAGTCTCCTTTTATTTATCACTGTGCTGTCAAACCCTACACACTTCCTACAAGTAATGCCTGTCCCTAATCTAAACATAGTCCTTTACTTCCTAAAATACGTACAACTTGTAAGAAGTTCCCTCAGATGCAGAGAGACATTGACATCAAAAAAGGGCAATGCAGTGCAGAAAACGATCGTCCTGAACAGAGATTCAGGTCAGTGCAATACCTGCCAGTGTAGCTGGTGAATGATACCAGTAATTTATGTCATCCTAGCACCTGAATACCTTTAGGGTATGAGTCCTCACAACTCTTCTGCAAAAGGGAACAGTGCTGATCTGTATTTTGTAGATTCATCACTGAGACAGCAAGGGCCAGATTTTTAAGTGTTCTACGTTCTTCAAAATGCAGATGATTTTCTCAGGGAGTATTAGCTATTATTTTCCATTTACCAGCTCCCAGCTCAAATACAGTACCTGACTAAATTTAATGGACTGCTATGGCCATTGCCGCATACCAAGAGCCTCAGGTTGCCTCTCGTCAGACTAGTTCCAGCATCAAAGCAACCTCAGCAGTGTAGCAGAACTGAACTACACCTGACTTAATACTTTATTGAGATTATCATCTCAGGTCAAGCTACTGTGTCCTTTGTGTGCTATGCTGCAGGGGAGGCAGAGAAGACAGTGAATGCTTTAACTTTCTTTACTCTCGACCATGCTGCCTTGCATGGTGTAGAGGTATTCTGAGATACCTTTAAACTCTATCAAGATCCCAGTAGATGTCTTTAACGGAGCAAATATCTACATTACTATTTCCTATCATCCTTCCTCTCTTCCATGAAGAAAAGAAATTACAGGTGTCTTTTTAAGCTGACACTCCATTTGCTAGGAAAACACAAAGCCTATGAATCAGGCTTTTAAACTAAAACTGTGATATGGCACGATAAAAGATGGTAGTTTCACATGTTACCTAGCATTTCCTTCTAAATCTGTTGCTTCATGCTGCTCAGGACAGCATAAAAGACGGTGGAAATAATTCTACAGCTGGAGATTTTGTAAGCCTGAGCAAGCTGGCATAATAGCTCTGTGCAAGCTCTCCTCCAGTGTCTAGTGCTCGAAGCTGGCCAGAATCAAAGATGAAGAAGAAGGGATAGACAGGAAAGGGTGTCTCCAAAGTGCATCTATTTTCTACTTTCCATTAGTCTTTAAGGAAGGGTGGAAATTGAGAGAATAACTGCAGGGAATTGTAAAATTATGTTTCTAATGGTCTTCTTCCAAGGCTATTTAGCCTAAAAGCCATTTTTTTATGCACGACCTAATTTCTGTTCCAAATAGAGGGGTAATATATTACAAATCTGTAGGTTGTTTCTAGGATCTGTGACAACATAAGGCATTGAAGCTACCCAAGGTAAGTGAGAGTGCCAGGGGTGTATTTTGTTCCTTCCAAGCTATGGCTTGACATTTTTCTTTGCAGTGTTCTTTGTTCACAGTTAATGATGAGTTCAGAAAAAGCTCAGAGCAATGATTACCTCTTATGTTTTGGGATTCTGAAAGTATGGACTTACTTTATTTCACACTATTTAAATTGTTGCTGAACTTACTTGTAACGGAGGGAGATTCACCTGGAACTGGTGTCCTATTTACAGGAACATATTAGTGTAAATAAAACTTTCTGACTCATCAGTAAGCTATTTGGGTTACTCTGCTTTTGGAAGCCATCCAGGTATAATTAAATTAAAGCATCTCATTACTTCATATTCCACAGTCAAACCAGAATTTAAGTACATTGGCAATATGCATGGAAATGAAGTTGTGGGGAAAGAACTGCTAATATACCTTGCACAGTATCTGTGTTCAGAGTATCTTCTTGGGAACCCTCGCATCCAGACCTTGATTAATAATACCAGAATTCATCTCCTGCCTTCACTCAACCCTGATGGATATGAACTGGCTGCAGAAGAGGTAAAAGACTTTTTATAAGGAAATATTCAGGGCTTCCTGTTTCTAAAATTCCCCATGAGAAAGGACAAACTGGGAGGGGAGTGTCACATATGGGAGGGAGTATTAATAATCGGCAGCCAGAATCCCAGGCCGGTTTGGTGGTAGGTTGCTTTCCAAAGATGATGTGAACAGAGGTAAGAGGAAATCAGAGCCATGTTTGTCATTTTTGCTGCCTGCATGCGATGATGTAGGAATGACTGTGTTACTTTTACACACATTTAGGACTCTCTGCTATCTATTCTGGAACAAAAAGCCCACTGACTCACTGTAATGACTGTTAAATTATTTTATAAGGAGACGTAGTTTAATACTGTGGAATAGATGTTCTTCCTCTTTTAAAAAGGCAGGTGTAATAAAAAGTGAATATATTCTGTACTGTCATGCTTTCATAATGGATGACAGTTTTCAGAGATCAGCTGGTGTCTGAAGGAGACCTGTGAAAGCAAAACTTCTATTATATGTTACTTGACATTTTTCTTTTCACCTCACTTTTATCACTAGCATCATTAGCATGAAAATAGGACCTTTCTTTTTCTTCGTTGCTCATGTGGTGAGCTCTGTCTGTTGTATGCATCTGGGGTTATTGCATTCTGCCTCATCCTGCCTTGGAGCATCAGCTGTGTTTTCTTTTTCTCCTCCTCTAACCCACTCTGCACGCTGCTCTGTGCTGAGTAAGAAGCTACTGTGTTCCTCTCATGAGTCACGTCACTGGTGAGTGAAGTGCTTCCTGCATGTTAGTTAGTGTGTTAGTGTTCATGCGGATAAAAAATTACTAATAAATGTAGTTTTTTAACAGTATAGACATTTTCAGTTTACTTTTTTAAAACTTCCCCTTGATTAAAGTGGTATTTTAAGCAACTTCCACAAAGTGGTATTTTGAGACAGGAAGTTATTCTGAGGTTGGCTTCTATGTTACAAATTAGGGAGCTGGTTACAATGGATGGGTCATCGGACGACAGACTGCTCAGAACTTGGACCTGAACAGAAATTTCCCTGATTTGACGTCTGAGGCTTACAGAAGAGCTGGGATTCGTGGGGCCCGCCTTGACCACATCCCCATTCCACAATCCTACTGGTGGGGTAAGGTATGAATTACAGATTTTATAAATCACATATACTACAGATCAACTCAGGAATTAAGAAGTTGAGATTGCTTGGTCTGAAGTTATTCTCTGGTAATCAGATTTTATAAGTAGGACTAAACTGGAAGGGCTTGGAAGTGGCATGAAAAATCATGGTGTAGGTCTGGCCAAAAAGGCAGGTGTCACAAATCATTGGGAAAATATGTGGATAATTTGGATTTTGCTATTTTAGATTAAGAATAATGACTGATAGGAGGAAGTCACAAGTGTGTAATGATTCATCACGAGTGATTTAAACTGTGGTAGCTTGTTCAAGACTTTATGCATTTGGCTCTCATTGCACTAAGCTCTGCACAGATTTGATGCAATAATGGTTTCTACCTTGGAAAACATACAAAGGCTTTGTATGAAGTTGTGTGGCGTCAGCTTCCACAGAAAGGGTGTTTATAAATGACTGTAACCAGCTGGAACAATGGAAACAGCCTGTCAAGCTACAGGGGTGCTGGAAGGGAGAGCTGCTGCTGCCTCCAGTCCCAGGCAGCCGGATGGAGGCAGCACTGCAGGGCCTCACACTCATCATCACTAAGCTTCATGTTGTGTGACGTCCAGGGATGCAAAGCTCAGTCCTATCTGTGTTGCTGGCAGCCCAGCAGCCCCAGACACTAGCAACTTGCAATGGAACCTAGTTCCCCTTGAAAGAAGAAGCACAGGAAGCCGAACTAGTAGTTCTGATTTTGGGAGCTCTACTTTTCTTCTGCTTTAAACTCATTTTATTCTAATTCAATTTTTATTGCTAGCACAAAGCCTCAGACAGGTGGGGAATAGGGTTGTTTCAGAAGCTGGTCTATTAGCAGATTTGAGAGACCATACTTCAGTTTTATAGTCTGCTGCAGATGATCTCATATGAGACTAGGTCTAAATGCGAAAGGCATCTCTGATGCATCCTCAGTGTTTTGGTACCCCATTTCACAGTAGTGAAAACTGGGAAAAGCAGTTCACTTCCTCAGGACAATGTACATATGAAGATGCAAGGCTGTGAGAAGCTCAGTAATGCACACTGTATTATACCATTGATTTTTGACATAACCAAGCTCAAGAAGTTTATTCTGTTTAATGCACGTAATTGTAGAGATCCCAGGTCATGTCACTAGACTTCCACATAAGGTCACAAGCTTAATAGTTTCCAACTTTTGACTGAATAATAACAAATAGTTTTGAGTCACTCCTGTGGTGGGTTGACCCTGGCTGGATGCCAGGTGCCCACCAAAGCCGCTCTATCGCTCTCCTCCTCAGCAGGACAGGGAAGAGAAAATATAATGAAAGTCTCAGGGGTCGAGATAAGGACAGGGAGAAATCACTCACCAAGTACCATCATGGGCAAAACAGACTCGACTTGAGGAAATTAGTTTTATTTGTCACCAATCAAATCAGAGTAGGATAATGAGAAATAAAACTAAATCTTAAAACACCTTTCCCCCACCCCTCTCTTCTTCCTGGCCTTGACTTTACTCCCGATTTTCTCTGCCTCCTCCCCCAGCAGCACAGGGGGATGAGGAATG